TACTGTCATTGCCGCTATTGTCGTCGGTGTTCGTGTTATTGTTGTGGTTGTTGCTGTTCTCGTCGTCATCATGGTTGTTGGTGTTGTTGTTATTATTGTGGCTGTTGTTTTCATCGCCTTTGTTACTGTCATTATCGTTGTGGTTGTTGGTAGTGTTATGATCGTTGTTGATATTGTCAGTGTCGTTGCTGCTGTTGATGTTTTTGTAGTTATTGTTTTTGCCATTGTTGCCATAGTTGTTGGTATCATTGTCGTTGTTGCTGTTGTTGTTGCAGTTCTCGACATTATGGTCCTTCTCCTCGTCGCCTTTGTTATTGCCATTATCGTTGTGGTTGTTGATGCTGTCATTGTTGCTATTGTCGTCGTCATTATTGTTGTCGGTGTTATTGTTATTATTGTGGCTGTTGTTGTTATCGTTGTCGTTATTGATGTTGTTGTTGTTGGCATCGCCTTTGTTATTGTCATTATCGTTGTGGTTGTTGGTACTGTCATTGCCGCTATTGTCGTCGGTGTTCGTGTTACTGTTGTGGTTGTTGCTGTTGTCGTCGTCATCATTGTTGTCGGTGTTGTTGTGGCTATTGTTGTTGTCGTTGTCGTTATTATTGCTGATGTTGTTGTTGTTGTCATCGTCTTTGTTGTTATCATTGTCGTTGTGGTTGTTGGTAGTGTTGTTATCGTTGTTGGTATTGTCATTGTTGTTACAGCTGTTGACGTTGTTGTGGTTATTATTTTTGCAGTTGTTGTCATTGTAGTTGTTGATATCATCGTTGTTATTGTTGTTGTCGCCTTTGTTGTTTTCATTATCGCTGTGGTTGTTGGTATTGGCATTGTTGTTGCTGTTGTAGCTGCTATTGTGGTTGTCGTTATTGTTGTCAGTGTTGTTGTTGTTTTTGCCGTTGTAGTTGTCGTCGTCATTTCCTCACCTGCAGTAAAATAAATAAAAATATTTTTTTATTATTGATCACTATTATTGTCGGTCTAATTTGACCTTTGCCTACTGTAATGTTTAATTTTTGATTATCCATTGAGTTAAACTTCCTCACCTTTTCTTTGACCTTTTGATTACTTAAATTAAATTAAACTCATTTCTTTTTATTTTTTTGATTCAAATGTTTGAGATTGAGATTATAAATTCAGTCAAATACTCATTCTAATCGAGGTTGAGACATGTGTGGTCTCATCATGTTATCGCATTGTTATCGTTGTTGGTATTGTCATTATAGCTGTTGATGTTGTTGTGGTTAATTTTTTCATGATAACTTTTTCTATTGAGAGGTGGAATAGATGAAAATAATCGAGATAATCTTATTTAATGCTGAAGAAGGATGATAAAACAATGTACTTAATAATTTCGAGGGATTAGTATTTTAGAAGCCTTAAAGCTAACAGCACCCTTTGCGTCGTACATCAAATCTACCACTAGAATCCTTCATGTATTTTCATATTTCATTCATATTTCATTTAATTTCCATTTTGTATTAATTTTCGTTTTTGATGCCAATAAAACTTGCGGATTATGTTGCCACAAAGAGCTGAGAACATTTAAATAAATTCTTCGTATAATCCTTGCTTTGTCAGCTTGTCTAGTCAAAAATTTCTTCGATAATTTTTTTATACGTTTTGTTATCTTGAATTGTCAGCATTCTAATTTTCTTTTTTATGTACCAAAAAAAAATATAGGCACATAAATTTGGCAAGCTATCGTTTTGTATTGTTTGTTCCATTTTTTTTGTTATTGATGTCGAATTGTGATTTTCGGGGTTTTGTGGGTATTTCCTTTGTATTGGTTTTTTTTCGAGAAAATTGGTAGTATTGGTAGTTTTCTTTCGACTTGATTTTGTTTCACAGTTATTGTCTTATTGCCTATTTTATTATTATATATCTTATATAATATTATATTATATATTGTTTATATATATATATCTTAAATAAATATATATATATATCTTTCATTAACCCGTTGTTAATTTGTAACTTATTATAACTTGTTATAATTGGTTTGATTAGTTTGATTTCTTAAATTTGAGATTCTTCTCAGACTGCTTGGGTAAGACAATAAACATTTCGATCATCAACTAGTAAACCGTATCTCTCCCAGAAGTTTCATCCGTCTAATATCTTGCCACACCGTCGATTCATTCTACTTCAAATCTCTCCTCAACGACGTGTGTATCATTTTACTGGGCATTTCTTTTTGATTTATTAACTGTTACAAACTGTTACTGGTATTATTAATATGTGCGTATAGTTATTATATTCTTATTCTTTGAAATATTATGCGAATAAATCCATTCCCCGTAAATACTCACTTTTCCTCTTTTCCTTTTATTACATCTTTTTATTTTCATGAAATCATGCTTAAAAATCAAAATTTAAATCAGAAAAATCCTCATACTTATTGCAAATCCGATGGAGTGAACCATTATGATTGATTCATTGCTGCACGAAATGAAACCGGTAACTGTACCGTATTCAAAAAGGTGAATGCCATTTATAAGAGTATTGTTGCGAGTTTCTTTCGGTGATAACCTCTCGTCGACTTCAACTAAAAAAACTTTCGCTTAAAAACATAGTCAACAGTCCTTTATAAAAAGAGCAGAAATATCTTTAAACAAACCATCGCTTGATATCTTAAAACCCATTAGATTTCTCTAAAACTCCCTCTAACCTTATTATATGCACAATCTGAATCTCCCTTTCCCTTCAGCATCTTTTTAACCCCTTATGTTCCATTAATATAACCATTGACACGCTTTCTTTCCAATCTTGCATTGAAGAAATTTAAGAAAGCAAGTAGACGGGTAAAATTGAAAATTAAAAGGCCTGATAGAATAAAGACAGCGAAAAATGAAATTTAGGCTCTGAAAACTATCTTCTTGAGCAGTAATTCCTATTTCTTCTGGAGAGAAAATATTTCATAATATATTTGCTGCCTGGTATCACAATAATTATAATATATGATTCATGATTTATGACAATTACCAGATGGGAATGGGAAAAAGAATAATGAAAGTAACTCTTAAAAGAGGTTCTGTTTGATCTCAGTGACATTTTTATAAATTTTGGATTAGACCACAAGAAGATATGAAAGGATAACTTGAAAGATAAATAAAATAAAAAAGCGGTATAAAATGGTGCAACATTTTTAACTTTTTCATTAAAATTTTCGCTTAATAAAAATGTGGAAATAAATCGAAATTTTAAAGGCCACTGATGGGGAAATGAATTAATATAATAAAAATATAAAATTGGCTTATTGAAAAAGATAAAATTTCCGAATTATCCAAAAGGAAGGTGAAGAAAGAAAGATGAAAAGATTCCGATTTTTAGAAGTAGCAATATAATTACTGGTTTCAATTTGCGCTAAAATTATAATTCAGTAAATGGTCCACACTATATTTACCTCTCGAAAAAAAGCCATCAAAAGTTAAACATTGAATAATTTCACCTACACGAATAAGACATTTTTATAAATCATTTCATAAACAAATTTTTGGCATATAGATTTGAATTACCAAAACGTTTCGGTGATTTTATTTCTTTACGGTGGATTGGTTTTTTTAATCGTTCCATAGGTTTAAATATTCGCAAATAACAAATACTTATATGTATATAATTTGCATATTTTTAGGCTATTTTTATAGCTTCTTACCTTTATTTACCGCAATCGGGAAGGCATAGTATGAACGGAATTTCTTGCAAAATATTTCGCCTTTAATATAATCGTTCCATTCTGCCGGATAATAATAGCCTAGTTTTTTTTCGTTAAAATTTAATCGAAATATTGCGCGAATATCGTAGCGTTCATCATATACAAATTCATAAATAGTATCTACTACCAAAGGAAAACATTTTTCCCACTCTTCTGGCTTTTTTACATCTGCAAAAATAATGCCATTATGAAGAAATTGATAAATGGTAATCTGTTCATTAATAAAAAAAACTCTTGCACTAAAGAAAGGATTCTATAAATTGAAATTCTTCGAGCGGAACACATCATATAACGACAGTTTGAAGAAGATTCATCAATATATTTTATATATTTGCACCATTTTTTATTTTGATTCTGTTTTTATTATTTTATTATTTTACAGTTTTGCACCAAAATTTACACACAAATATTTCGAAGCACCAAAATTTCTCAAAATCCTTTATATAAGAGAAATATTGAGATAAATAAATGTTGAGATAACAACAAATAGATAAAGGCAAATGGATACAAAAAATTATTGTTAGTAATTATTGAGCTAATGAGAAAATATATATTTTACGTGTCAAAAGAAATCATTCAGGTTAAGGCGTTATGAGAAATAATTAATTCAATATATGTTATAAATATGCATAGGAAATTGTGGCAAAAAAAGGAATTTCAAGAAAAATGGGAAAAAAACAAAAAACAATTAGAGAATGGGGAAGGAGTGGAGAGATGGGCATATGGGAAGGCAATCCATATTTTAAAAAATGCCAAAGAAGCCCAAGATAATCAGGACCAACTAAAAATTAAGGACAACTTCAATATCCCCAAACGATTAATTTTGATTCCGCACATGATGCAGCGAGATTTGATAGGGCATTAAAAAAGTATTGAGATAATATGATATGATATGGTTAGGTATTTTTAAGAAGATATGATGAGATAATCTGAGGATTCAAATGAAAAGCATTGCTAATAGTACTTGTCGAAAGCTTTACAGCGAGGTTATTGAAATACTATTGTACTATAGCTGCTAAGTAGGCTGCTTTTCATGCGTCTTAATTTAATCCCATTCGTTGAATCAAAGGTCTGAAGCTATTTCATTTTCTATCATCTAGATCCACATACCGCTGGGCCTTCAAAATATTTTTGATGCCACCACCACAGCAGGAAAGCTTATTAAATAACGAAATGTGTATCGATAGATGGCAAGGAATATGGTCAATGTATACTTTGATAAAATATGGAGAGATGAAATGTAACAAACATGTACAAAGTCAAAAAAATGAACAGAAAAAATTTAAGTACTTCCTCGAAATTACCAAAATTATCTCAAAATTTTTCAATGCTAAAATGTATAATTTTCCCACACACCGTTTTATTTTCCTTTAAATGCCTCTCCATCTTAAAATCAGTCATTCATATCCATCATTAATACATAAGCTGTTTGGTTCCATATTACTTTTCATCCTTTATTTTTCCTTCTTCTTGGAATCTCCTATGGTCTAGAAATGTTTCTCAAAGGATTGATCTCTCTCTTTCAAACTCCATTATTTCTAATAATCTTGGTCTAAAAATTATTGTGATACTTCATTATTCTTTATCAGATTTAAAATAATTTAAGTTAAGGATTAAGCTATTACCACGAATTTCATTATAGGGCAACATACGTCGGATCGATACTTTGGGTGAAAATGTTTTCTTCGGAATAAGGAAAAACGCATAAACAAAAGAATATTCTTTTTCTACCAATTGAATCCATACAAGTGCAAATTTTCCTTCAGCCTGTCAATAGTTTTTTGAAAGTTTTCAATAATCCATTAGAAAGGGAAAGCAAACAAAGAAAAAAAGGAAATACCAGTGAGCGATGTGCTTTCCTATATACAATTTTATAACCCAGAACATTCAGAATCGATTTGCTCGTACAAAGTTTGGGAGATTTTTTTCGAAACAACTGAAAGGTTAAAAGATTTTGAATGTAGTTACTTCTATCGTAATTGATAAGCAAAATTTTGTTTAATTATTAATTGAATAAAGCTTCACTAATTAATTATATTTTTTTTCTTCTTCTTCTAACAGCTCTCACCATTACTGGTTAGGCTGGCTCCAACGGCTACAAGGGTAAGACGGTCTGATGCCATCGTCGACACTAATGAAAGCCATTGCTTCTTCATCGTCTAAGTCCATATATTGCTGGTCCACCTATACGTTTAAAATCTTTTCTCACCCTATCAGTCCAGGTC